TGATTTAGAATCCTTCACATTACAGCAGTTTGTCAATAAACAATATTATACATTTTTAAGCAGTTATGGCGCAGTTCGTTTGCAATCCTATAAAAATACAACCGCTAAATCCTACGTACAGATGTCCCTCAAAACCTGTAGGCGCTAGTGTATAAGTTGAGTTTATGATACTATTCGTTTTCTCCACTAGTATTTATCATGGTCAGACGGGGAATATGGTCCAGATGACCAGACCGACGTACGTCATTTTCAGAGGGTTTATGACACAAGGCAATAGATCATTGTCAGAATATGAACCCTCATGATAGTCAGTGACTAGAATAGATTTGCACACTACTTATTTCCTCAGGTTTCTGGAAGTCATATATAACATTTGTTGGAAATTAGTTTCCTCGATTACCATAGGTAAGTACCATTTTAGCGTTAAATACCCACACATCTGAAACCAGTAAGAAGTTTTCAGTTTTGCGTGGCCTTTATCCAACTTACTAATCAAATAATCTTTTGCACTCAGCTTTCCGTCAAAACTTGTGTACTAGAGCTGGTGACCAAATGACTTCCCAAAACGATGTTCAGACCTGAGACCCAAAGATTAAAAATCGAGTACTTGGAGAACTAAGTCACCACCTAATTTTCATGCAGCAAAACTGGATTAGATTAATGTTTTCTAGAAAACTCGTGAGAAAAAAAGAGAAAGATGCGTGTAACGAAAAATATTTAGTATAACTAATCAATACCCTATAAGTAGAAGCACTAATCCAAGAAAAAGAATGGGTAGCTCCGGAATACATTATTTGATCATATGAAGTGAGAGAGAACTTAACAAACAACGTCAAATAACGAACATAACGACACTAGAGTTCCGTAGTTTACATTTAACAAATTTGAAGTCGGTCTAACAAAGGTACATAAATCTTCATGACAATGCCTGTTTTTTCTGAACTATTCTCAAGGTAACAAAAATTTTACACTGCACGTTGAGTAAGACTAATCTAAAAGCAGATTGGAAGGTAGACATTTGTCAGTATTTTTTCTAAACCTATGAAGTAAATAAAAGATGCCAACGGTAAGTTACGTCTTAACCTATGTTGGTCGGGACTGGCTTGTCGTTTTTTAGATAGAACTAGCTGTCCAATGATACTTCTTTTCATCCACTAGAATGTTCAGTATATGGTTATTTCGACAGAAGCATAACAGTAAAACAAGGATATACTTTTCTGACTAGAAGTACATTCAGAAGTGATCGTTACAGAGATGAATGATTCTGCATGAGGTGAGACTTCATATACTAATGTTAAAATTTAACATAACTGTCTTAGATCTAAGAGACTACATTATACATTTTCTTGGTGACTGCAAACACAAAACAATTTACCTTCGTCGAGCTGAACACCTTCATCAAACCGTTCAAAAAGATCGTATCTCCGCTTCCAGTATTTTGGTAATACTTTATTGCTATTATAAAGGACTCTGGCACTATAAAGTAATGTCAGAAAACTATAATACCATACACCTTGTTTCTTTTTCTCAAAACTTCTGTCAAACTGACAGGTGCGAAACGTTGAGATGGAATTGCTATTTCATCATCCGAACTGCTAACTTTACTTTTATTAATTTCATTTTCATCATCACTGGATGAAACATCCGATAGTGTGTCGACAACACCTCGTGAATGTAACGCAAACATCGAAAAACGTACGGTGCTCAATCCTCAAACATCGAACTTCGTTGCGCAGAACCAGATCATTTTATGTACCTTAAAATCTAAGTCTTGGCAGAAAGAAAGAGATTTCACCTATGTAAAAATGTAGTTTACATCGTGTTCGGTCAAAACCAAGGGGATAACAACAGTTTATTATGGAAGTAAAGAAAAAGGAAGTGACATCCCAGACAACCCAAAAACGGGAAATAATGGGGAAAAAAGGGGAAATAAAGAAGTAAATGCTTTGGTGGTGAAAGGGGAAATAAAGGAGAAAACGCCCCAGAATGTCGCCTTTTTCGTCTGTCCGGGGGAAATAATGCGGAATTTCCCCTTTTTCGCCTTTTTGGCGACAATTTACCCACTTATCGCCTAAATATCCGCTGAATTGTCGCATTTTCACCTAAATAACCGCTGAATAGTCACGTTTTCGCCTAAATACACACATTACATCCTATTTTTTATCCATCGACAGAAGACAAAAGGTCTCATGCATTCGCCTTTATTTTCAACAACAGACCAAAATATCTCTGCAATGCAGTTGAAAAGCGGTAAATTTTTTAAAAATTTTATTTAAAAAGAAAAGCCTATTATTGTACAACAGTAGCGCACAAGCTTAAGCATCCATTGTTATGCATATCCAATGCAATTGCTAATTAATTGTTATTGAAAATTATCTGAAAACGAAGGAACAGGTTATGTTTTATTCATAAGGAATGTCCATTTAATCAAAAGTTCACTGAAACTCAAACACACATTCTCAACAGTTTCCCAAGTAAGTAAAAAAGTAAGCTGTTTGAAAAAACAATGTTTATTGAAATGTACGTAGAACATCAAAACAATAGCACGGCTATTGAGAATTGAGGTAGTCGTCCCGTGAATTCTGAATAAATAAAAAAAGTAAGTCACAATCATATCTCAATGACATGCTTTGGTCCAGCCAAATACTTGAAGCTGAACTTACCGTTATGTTCGTTAGTATTGTTGACTGTAACTATAGAGCCGTATGGAGGTCATCACTGGAAATTACTACATACCTGGCCTTGTTTTCTTCTAATACGCTTCATCATCTTGTCTCGGATATCGTGAAAGTAACCTTGTGTCGCGATATCATAGAGCTTACCAAGGTCTTTCTCGTTGAGAGAGGATGACAGAAAGCGATGAGTTAAGGCACCTGAAGTTTAAGTAATAGATATAGGTTACTTCGTATGCAGCTGTAAAACGTGCATTTCTGTAGTGCTCGTTTTGAAGAGGTGCCAAGTAACGTGAAGTTACTGGCGAGCTCAGGTGTCAAGATGTATGACAGAACAAAACGCATCGACGTCTTTGGATCGTCACTCGATAACCTAGTGACCATTGCTATCTGTAATAATAAGAAATTATAGAATTCATGTTAATTACTTACAAATCTGTCCCTGGTATCTTTCTGCAACAAACCAGTATCCAGCATCTGTAGTTCCTCTTCAGATGACAAAGGAAACTGCTGACTCGATAGTCCGCAATCGAATTGATGCGGTCTTTCGCGCTCATTCGACTTCGAAAGCGATTGCTTTATAGTAACAGTCAAATCCGAAATGGCTGTTGACATATGCAGCAACGTTTGACGGAAGTCATTCATGGTTGACGAAATGTTTTGCACCATTGCATGCAACCTATCTAACCTGAAAAAGTTCACTTGATGATGCAGGTGACTTACTGGTCTGCTGAAGCACTATGGACACGCTTTGATGCAGATGTAGACGGTGATGTCTCTAATTGCATCGAACTAATTTTTGAACATGTAAATAGTCATGAAACTTACTTAGCAATACGCGAAACAAATTTATCAAACAACCTGAATTTGGGATATTGAACATGAGTATTGCCAGCCTGCATTTCAGCAACATCCATGTCTACTGAATTGTAAAGATATTCTTGTTTACGTTTCATTACAGCTCTAGGAAATGTTCGTAAGATTATTGTACATACCTCTCGTGCTTCTCAGTGTTATGTGGCAGAGTGTTTTCATCCGTTGAAATATTTTCCCGATGACATTGCAGTATTTCTATGGAAAGTAACACATCTTTGGCAGACTGCAGAGAATCTATAGTGAATTATATTTTCTGTGTATGTAACTTACGTAATTCGTGAATAACTACATTTCATAAGTGACCAATTTTCATTAGGTTGGTCGCAATTCTGAAGGTGTATATCGACCATCTCATTCGGAAAAGCGCAAACGTCCTTACCTACTAGCCACTCCTTTGATGCTATCATCAGTTGTTTTTTACTAAGAACGTCAACAATGACGTAGTAGTAGTATATCCCGATATCTTGGAGTTTTTTTAAATAAAGAGCGGAAGATCTGTAACAGCATAGGTTGGTTGGTTAAGAGTTGACCCCAAACAACCAAGCATATGCCAAAACAGTATTGTTCAAGTATTCATTCACTTCCTTATTTTGTATAAGCGTTATATTCCTTATTATCTTATATTGAATGCTGAAAGCCTTTGTTTGTCTGAACAGATAATCCCACGCTCCACTGTGACTGCGCTAAGATCGAAATAAAGACTTCATCCAGTTATTGTCTGGATTCTTCTATCAATAACACGAGGGTTACCTAAAGGCACGAAATTGGTGAGCCCTTTTTGAACACACATTAACCTCATTTTTGTGATTAATATTATTTTTTTTTACTCAATCGTAAAAGTAGACCTGATAATCCGTAAACTAAGTTGGGTATATAAATAGTTTATTCTTTTTATTATCTTAAGTTATTCGTGTCATAGAAACCTTTTTTTTTCTCGTGCTAATTTTATTGCTATATTTGTCACATACCTCATGTCAGACTTAAAAGAAACCCATAATCTGGAGGATTTGTCACCAGTGGAGATAGACACTGTTATGACTACGAAATCTCGACTTCCAGAATTTGATCGTAGTGATCCTGAGTTGTGGTTTGCTCAACTCGAGCATTATTTCACGAGACACAATATCAAATCTGAAGGGATTCGCTATAGAGATTTGTGTTCTATCCTTCCTCCTTCAGTCGCCAAAGAAGTCCGTGACTTGATTTTAGATCCACCATCACCACAACCGTACACCGTCTTAAGACGAGAGATAATGAACCGTTTATCATTATCAGATAGTCAAAGAATCCAAAGACTTTTTCAAGGTGAAACACTAGGTGATCGGTCGCCGTCACAGTTTCTACGTCACCTCCAAGTCTTAGTGGGTGATAACACAGTGGGTGAAGCAGTCCTAAAACAAGGATGGATACAAGGTCTCCCATGCTACGTCCAACACTGTTTGGATGCACAAGATCCTGAAACCTCATTATCTCATTTAGCGCGTATAGCTGATAGAATAATGGAAAGAGGTCCTCCAACTGGATCACGCGCAATAAATCACACACAGAAGGTAGAATCAGCAAAAGACCCCGTCATAGAAGGACTCATTGCGAGTGTTAAGAGTCTCACTGAGGCTGTCACCAGAATGCAAATGGGTCATACAAACAGTAGCAGGTCACCACAACGATCACGATCCAAGTCACAAAATAGGTCACAAATGTCCAGACAATCTGGGCAGTTTTGTTGGTACCACTGGAAGTTTGGTGTCAACTCAACCAAGTGCAGGCAACCATGCGCCTGGCCTAAGCATAATTCCAAGACAGCGGGAAACGAGTAACCCCTCCCCAGGTCGCGACAACTGAGGAGGGGCGCCTAAACAGTCGCTTGTTTTATGTCAGAGACAGAAACTCGGGCTTGAATTTCTTGGTGGACACTGGCGCTGCTCTTAGCATCATCCCTCGAAATAAAACTGAGATTAGTCGAGAAACATCCCCGATTACACTTCAAGCTGCAAATAAAACTACAATCGCGACATTTGGGCAGAAAACGTTAACCCTAGATTTGGGGTTCAGAAGGCAATTCCCTTGGGTTTTCACGGTAGCCGACTTAGATCTGGCAATACTGGGGATGGACTTTCTAGAGAGATACGAATTTCTTGTTGACACAAAGAAACGGCGATTAACACTAAAAGAAACTTCGTTTTACACAAAAGGCAAAGAAAGTCACATCAGCTCTCTTAACTTGATTCAAACCCCTCCAGTAACAACAGCGAAATTCCAAGATATACTCGCGGAATTTCCAAACTTAACCAAACCAAACCCACAGCCTTCCAAAGACAAACTAAAAGTAATTCACACTATCAAAACCGAAGGTGCACCGGTGTTTGCAAAACCCAGGAGACTAGCACCAGATAAGCTCAAAATCGCTAGAGCCGAGTTTGATTATATGCTACAACTGGGTATTATCCGTCCGTCTGATAGTCAATGGGCATCCCCTTTGCATATGGTCCCAAAGAAGAATGAAGGTGACTGGCGACCGTGTGGGGATTACAGAGCCCTCAACCGTCAAACCGTACCAGATAGGTACCCAATACCGCATATCCAAGATTTCACAAACGGTTTACAGGGTATGAACATATTCACTAAAATTGACTTAGTCAGGGCATATCACAATATCCCGGTGGCTGATGAAGATATCCCTAAGACAGCTATTACAACACCCTTTGGCTTATTCGAGTTTGTACGCATGCCATTCGGCCTGAGAAATGCGGCACAGACATTTCAAAGATTCATAGATAACCTACTTCGAGATATGCCATTTGCGCAGGGGTATATAGACGACTTGTTAATTGCCAGCCCCGATTTGCAATCACATGAAGAGCATGTACGAGCAGTGTTGACAAGATTGAATGAACATGGAATAAACATACATCAAAGTAAGTGTGTTTTCGGTGTTCAAACTTTAGAATTTCTTGGTCACACAATAAGCCCAGAAGGGATTAAACCTATAAAAAAAGAAGTGGATACCATCAAACAATACCCGATACCTAGCTCTCTAACACAGATGAGAAGTTTTCTAGGTCTAATTAACTTTTATCGCAGATTCATACCAGGTTGTGCACAATTAATGCAACCTTTAACAGATTTACTTAAAGGAAAACCAAAAGAATTCAAACTGTCTTCTGACGCCGTCGAAGCTATTAAACAGCTTAAAGATAAACTGGCTCAAGCAACTACATTGATATATCCGAATTCTCTTTCCCCACTTGCTTTGATGGTGGATGCTTCAGATAAAGCAGTAGGCGGTACCCTTAACCAACTGGTTAAAAACGCCTGGAAACCAATTGCTTTCTTCTCGAAAAGACTCGCTCCAGCTGAGACAAGGTATTCTACCTTCGGGCGAGAACTTCTTGCAATCTACCTGACTATTAAACACTTCCGACACATGTTAGAAGGTAGGGAATTTATAGTCTTTACGGATCACAAACCACTGACGAATGCATTAAAAGCGAGAGCCGATAAGTACTCACCTCGAGAAGTCCGACACCTTGACTATATATCACAGTTCACAAGCGATATCCGACATGTCAAAGGTCAGGACAATCAGGCGGCAGATGCTTTATCCAGACTAGAAATGAACGTGGTACAGCAGTCTACAGTAAACTTCGAGACGTTGAGACACGAACAAGAGCAGGACCTAGAATTACAAAACCTACTCAAAACAAACAATTCAAGTCTTAATTTAAAGCAGTTCCCATCACCTATCGATGGTATTCTAATTTACTGTGACACGACCAAGGCAATGCCGCGACCTTTCGTTCCCAAAAATATGCGAAAGTTGATATATAATAACTTTCATTCTTTGTCTCATCCTGGAGCAAAAGCTTCAACTAAACTAATCAATGCCAGATATATATGGCCGAATTTACAGAAGGATGTACACAAATGGGTTAGAGAGTGTTCAGCATGCCAACAATCAAAGATTAATCGTCACACAAATTCACCCATAGGTGTTTTCTCGCAACCAGATGCACGTTTTGCACATGTGCATATCGACTTGGTAGGTCCTTTACCCCGTTCAAATGGTTTTAATTATCTTTTTACATGCATAGATCGATTTACCAGATTCCCTATAGCCATCCCGATAGCGGACATCACAGCGGAAACAGTAGCCAAAGCTTTCATGCAGAACTGGGTAACCATTTTTGGTACACCCATAACAATAACGACGGATAGAGGAGCGCAATTCGAATCCGAACTATTTAATAACTTGGCTAAACTTCTAGGCTCTAATAGGATACGCTGCACTGCATATCATCCTCAGGCTAATGGGATGGTTGAACGTTTTCACCGTCAGCTAAAAACCGCCCTTATATCTCACTCAAACCCCAATCAGTGGACAGAATTCCTACCATTAGTTATGTTGGGAATACGAACATCTGTCAAAACTGACGCACAATGTTCAGCTGCGGAACTGGTTTTCGGAACAACTCTGAGACTACCAGGTGAATTTATTAACCCTAATACTAACAGTCAAAAACTTAATTTAGAAAATTACGTAGATCAACTACGGGACCATATGTCCAAACTTAAACCAATTAATACTCGCGAACAATCGCGCGCCGTATATGTACCTAAAGACCTAAGCAATTGCACGCACGTCTGGATAAGATGTGATAAAATAAAATCACCACTCAGTCCTCCATTTGAAGGTCCTTTCAAAGTCGTCTCAAGAAAATCTAAATATTTCGTGATAGAAAAACATGGAAACATCGACACAATAAGTATTGATAGGCTAAAACCGGCTTATCTAGATCATGAACCACCATACGTATTGTTAGATCGTATAACTGACAAATCCATTACGGAATCGAAATGTAAAGATAAATCTTTACAAATGACTAAAACGGTCCGCTGGGCACATCCAATTAGTCAGTCAAGGATGTTGACAGTTTCGGCTGCAGGATAAAATCTAACCACGTAGCTAATCAGACCCTGCATCTACTCAAAAATATTTTTCCCCTCATTCCGCCTCACCTACAACTCCCTAGACCTTTTACCTTTGATATATAAATGTTATGTTAAATTTTTTTTAAATACTGGACACATAAGCTAGGTATTCCGAAACGATGGCTGAGGATTTTAATCAAACTCATACAACTAACACTGGCAAATACAACGAATTCACAAAGCAACCCAGGCGAGTTTTATAATTTCTTTTTCTGGTTAATTAACTATGTTGGCTGTACTCCTTATATATCTTTATACATTTTTCACGTAGACTGGCAATACATATATGCAACATGAACTACTTCTAAGAGTTTCCGGTCGAAGATATGTTTAGTAGCTTGATACGATAAATACTACTATTAATAAGTGGTTTTCTAGACAAAACATTTTGAATTAAACCATGGCCAAGTACTTATTAAACGTCTCATCATTTTTTTTCATGTTTAGGAAACTTATATAATGACTTAACCAGTTTTCCTGCAGCATGCTTTTTAGTGTGATCATATAACCCATCTTTATTGGCAATATTCAGATTTTTTTTTAAAATTCTGACAATTAAGAATCAATAACCGTGGAAATATAGTACAGTGCGTTACTGTAAGGTTACTATGTTAGCCGCATTGATTCCGCATACCTAATTTTAAACACAACTTATAAAGGAACTCTTAAGTAATCATAACATTGAACTAACGATATGACTATCATAGCTATGTTAACGTTAAACCAATTATTATTAGTGGTCCTGACAAAACCCTGGAACTTAACACTAGCGTTATAAAAAAGACATGTTATGTCAGTAACTTTTATATATATATATACTTTTTCTCTCGGTTTAAGTATAACGTAAAATGGAAATTACAAAACTTGTAGATTTTTTTTTCTCTATAGTATTATTAGTAATCCAAACAAAGAACGTGTACTGTTCCAATATGGCATTCCGATATATCAACCAGTCCTCCTGTTATTTTTTCTCTCATATCTGAGCAACTTATGGCCAACAAACATCGTATTGAAGGGGGGTTTCGATGAACAAAAACGCATGACCCACACGCACTCGAACCTCAGCCCTTCTGAATGCTAGACCGCGTGCCTAGCCATTAGGCCACATCAGACCACGAGGGGTGACTGCAATCTTTCCTTTTACCAATTATTCATTCATAATACTAATGAGTAATAGGACTTACACACTTCTAAGGTGCAGACAAATTCGTTACTTTGATTAATTGACGAAATATTGCCTCAGTATATCATACATATTTAAATCAAACCAGAAAAGAGTATTTGACACAACTGTACTTGATCCTCATACTCTACACAATTTTCTCCCCTCTTTAACCGTATATTCTCTTCCGTTTTATGGAGTAAAATTATGCACCCTTGGTTACGTTGTAACACGTGTAATCAGCAGCCACCGGAAGGCGGGAAGACCTAAAGCCACAACACACACAATGTTAACTGAACACTTCACACCACAGAGAGAACGCGGAACGAAGACCAACAGTCGTTTATTTCAAAATTAAAATTTCGCGGGTTCTGTACAGAAAGAGAGCTAGTTTACAAAACGGTCTTATGAGTCGTCCTGTAAGTTTAGTGCGTGTAGGGCTTGCTCTTCTTCTTCTAAGGCGTTTATTCTTGCTTGCTCTGCAATAGAAAGAAAACAAAATCTATTAGCAACATCATACATGATGATTTTAATCCCGTTACATCGTCCCCTCTCCTAATGAGGCACTGTCCTCAGTGCCTGGTCTTGGGCACGGGTATGCTGTCCCTCCTTCAGATGGTACTTCGTAAAATCTAGTGGCCGGCGGTGGATCAGCGAGTTGAGCGTCGAAGGGAAATGTCGTCCGATCGGGTTTTATCTGGTTGTAGTGCACCGTTATCACGTCGTCTTTAGGTCGTTGTATATTACGCAATACAAACGT